TATGCACAAAATGCCACTGACTCTTCCCATACCTTCATACATCTACCTAAATGTTTAACACTAAAATTTCTGGGATATTCTCTGCAGAAATGGAAAGGACATCACCAGCATTAGGGCAGCTTTTCAAGTGTCCAAGCAATCAGCCCTGGCTTGTTTCACTGCATATGAATTGGCTTGGAAGAAGAGGGACATTCCTTCCTCCCGGGCAATCAGCACTGCTAAAGCCATCAGGACCTGATTGGTAATGAATCTGAGACTGTCCTGTCCATTCCCATTCTTCAAACGTTTATTTGAGATTGTGGCCATATCATATCTGGCCACTTAGGAAGTGTGCAATAAGCTAGACCATTTCCCTCGCAGATGGCAGATGGGGTTGGGGGTGGGGAGGGACTTAAGGGTATTGCAATCAGCTCTCCACAAATATCCCTGCAACCTATTGATGCTAGAGCTAAAGCTGTTATAGCTTCAAGCAAATGGAAAAATGTTTCTGAAAGCATTAAGAGAGCTATGGCAGGAGCATGAGATTTTCACTTTAAATAAAAGAAAGAATTTAATACATTTTCTAAGCCTTGCAAACTGAGAGACTGTAACAGTCTCTTAAAAGACCTTAAGGATGCTAGTAAGTGCTCAGATATCCTTAGGCTGCCATCAAGACAAGCAGACACAGAAAGGATGGGTTGCATACCCATTTTCTTGATACTTGAAGGATCAGCAAGAAGTGAGAATCTTCAAAGGACATGTCCTAACTAATAAAAAGAATATATAAATAAAAGCGATTATGCCCTGTGTGTCATTAAGTTACCAATGCATGGTATGAAAGATTATTTATAACAGCTGGAGCTTGGTCTCTGTATATGTCAGTGAATGCCAGCAGAGAATGCCACTCCAGAGCTTACACTATGGCCGTGGGTGGTTTAGGGCCCCATATGTTGATGTGCAAATGCAGCTTGGTGTCTGCACCATTAAACCAGTGCACAATTAAGTTGTCAAAGCATCTTGGTTTTCCTCCTCTGCTGATTTTTGCTCTCCTGTTTGGCCACCTAAGATGCAATCACACTCCAAGAACTGAGTCACACCGAACAAGCGGGATGCAGCTGACACTTTTGCTGCCTCCAAGGACCTCTGTAACCTGCCTGAGGCCCTGTGACCAAGTTGGCAAAAGAAGCAATCAAATGTCTTGCTTCTCTGTTCTCACAGAAAGTCAAAGTACAACACTTCACTGCATTGGTGAAGTCTCTGCTGGATTCAGTGAAAAAAAAAATTGAGTCTGTGAACTGAATCTCACCTGGAGTCCTCCAGGTCTAGGGGTGGTCTTCTTGGCTTTTGCAGGGAAAGATGAAAGCATGAACTTTGCCCCTTCTGAGACAGAAAAACTGATTTTATCACAGATCTGGGAGCAATTTATGTTTTATTTTCCCACTGAATTCAGCTTGGTTCTGCAGAAACTATTCCTCCTCTCCTCTCACCCAAAGGCTGAAGTTCAGAGCTGATGGCTGTTTTAGCAGAGGCTTGCAGCCTTGCCCTCAGCAAATATAGCTCAAGTTCAAAACATAGTTGCTCCTCTGGAGCCTGGTGGAATGGCAGCACTCCCACTCAGAAAGTGGCCTGCAGCTTTAGAGAAACTTTAATGCTAAATAGAATGGGTATTAAATAGGGAGGAGAGTGGTGTTGCTGGAGTCTCTTCTATTATATATCCACTATGGGGTTGGTATCTCCCTGCCTATGTGATCAGGAGTGTCCAGAAATTCTGTACTTATTTTTTTTGAAACCAGACCCTGAAAGAAAGTAGTTCTGTTCATGTGTATATTTTCTCCAGGCAGATGAATGTTGTTGTTAAAACAAAAATAAAATAAAATAAAAATAAAAAAATAAAACAAAACAAAAAAATACTCTAAAGTTTCTAGCAGTGTTAGAAATTCAGATGGTGTTTTTAAGGATGGAGGATTTTGAATTTGTTTATTGTTATAATAATGCAATAAGTTAATGAATTCTTTCAAAACACAAAACACAAACAAAAGACAAGAATTTGAATGGCCAATAACAAGAAGGAAGGTTGACAAATAAGCAAGAGGGTTCATCTCCTATTTTCAGTCTGGAGATGCCTTTGTCCGTTAATTTTGCTGTAGTTAAATATGCAGCAAATGGACATTGGGTCTCAGGTAATGCAACAGTTCTTGAAGTTTTAGCAGTTCAATTTTATCTGGGCAAATGCAGGTGCAAACCATATGAATCATTTGAGATTTTAAAAAGCAGCTCTATTTTAAAAAAATGAAAGGTAAATGACTTTAGATGGCAAACTACATCAGGAGAGCTAAATAAGGAAAAAAATATTGTTACAGTGACAGTAATATTAGCTGCAACAAACAAAATCAGTCAATAAAAGCACTTTGGAAAGTTAAAAAGCCAAATGAATGAATAAGCCTCTCCCTAAATTCAATATTCTCTTGTATAAAATATTAGTACTCGGACTAAAATCACCTCCTGAGTACAGGATTTTTTTTTCTGTTTTATCAGCAGTCTCTCTCTTTCCCCTAGTAAATTCATTTATTTGCTCAAAACTGCAGTGTGTTGCCAGCACTTTCCAATACAGATACATAAGATAATGCACACTTCATCCACCCTAAAGCTCTCATTCCACAGGTTATTGATTTAACCATACTTCTGTAAAGACAAACAGCCAAATTCTCTGCCTTCTTCTGACTCAACTGACAAAAGCTTCTCCAACCTTCTGTTGCTGGATGAAGTCAATCTCTGATAATGAGGGCACTGGGGACTACATTTACACTCAGCCAAGCATGGAGCCTGTGCTCAGAGTCACTTGCCCACTGTTCCAGTGGCTGACAATTAAAGTTTTGTTCTGATGCAGGCTCAGTGCAAGCTATGGAGGCTCTCTGACAAGGTGAAAGCCAGTCATTATCTATAGATCTGAGAAGATCATCACTAAAAGTAGAGGCAGGGAAGAGCTTTTCACCAGGAAATCTATCCCAACTTATCTTTTTCTAAGCAGTCGAGATAATAAACTTGAACAGTGTGCTCTTTAATAGTTAGCAAAATGCATAATGAAAAAAATCCCAGAAACTGAAATACATGTTTCCTTTTGTGTCCTGTTTCTGTCAGAAATGTAGAAATCACACTTAAAACAGTACGTGCTGTGAAGAAAAGTTGACACTGTCTACATGAAGGTGAAGATTTTCTATCATATCAATGTAAACAATTGCAAAGGAGAAATGTGTGACTCCTTGTGTTGCCAGTGACTTGATCCAGCACTGTGAGCCAGCCAGCTCATCTGTTTTCCTGAGTAAAGCTTCCAGAGTTTCATTACCCTTACCTCCTGGTCTGCAGGAGATTGCAAGGTCTGTATCTTCATGCTCTTCTGAATATAGTTGGATCATCAAGGCTTATCCTGCACTTTCTGTCTCCAAGTTGAACATGAATTTAAGCTAAATTTGACCTAGTTGGTTGGGAAATTTTGACCCTGTCCTGCAGGTAAGAAGATGGGTCAGTGATTGAGGCTTCCTCCTCCTCCAGGGAGGGTTTCTGTGGGTCACTGACAGAAAGTGAATTCTAAGAAAATGCCTGGGGTCCTGGTAACAGAGACGGGCTGATTCTGTAGGGTGAGTTCCTCTCACAAGCTCACAAGCCCTGCCTGTGTCAGCTAGCCGACTTCAGAAAGAGCATTCAGGCATTGGAATGGGTTGCCCAGGGAGGTGGTGGAGTCATGGCCCCTGGGGGTGTTTAAGGAAAGGTTGGACGTGGTGCTTAGGAACATGGTTTAGTGGGTAATATTGGTGGCAGGGGGATGCTTGGGCCAAATGATCTTGGAAGTCTTTTCCAACCTTAACGATTCCGTGAGTCTATGATTCTGCTGCTACTTACAGGCCTCTGTGCTAAACCTGATTTACAAACTCTCTGATAGTCACCTGGGAATTATCACAAATGTGCAGGAAGAAGTAAGAGTAAAACAGTCCCTAGCTGGCAGCTGTGGCTAACATACAACCTGTATATAAGTTTATATTAAATATAAGAATAAATATTATAATTGTATATTATTCATTCTACATTATTTCTTAAATATACAAAATACATGCAAAATCTTCTGGGGGTAGAGGGAAGGCAGAGAATATGTGAGGCAATAGCACTATGCCTTTCCTTCTCAATTCAATTCATTCATAACTCTTATAAGACAAAACTCATATTAGGCTTCAGATGACAGGTTGACTTTTGACTGAGAAAGAGCAGCAGCTGGTCCTCCTGCACACACCAGTTGCCCTGTTGTCCAGGTCCTTCATGGACAAGGAGATGTGCTACTTTCCTTTTCTTTAGCAGTAGTCTCCACTCCAGGATCCAGTGCCATATCAGCCCCGCCCTGAAGCAACCCAGAAAACACAGGAGAACTGTTTGCAGTTCATTTCCAGCTACCAGATAGTACCAGATTTGATAGTTGTGTTGTTGTTGCTGTTGTTTGTTTATTTTCCCTGACAAGGACATCTGTTTACTAGAACTCATCTCCAGCTTTAGTGAACATCAAAAAGGATGTCTGTGAGACTGCAGCTGGATTTAGATGGTACAAAGCCCTTCAAGTGACTGTTTAAATCGCTTTTTCTCTTCTGCATTCCCTATCCCCAAATAGAGATCAGTTAATTTTAAGAGCATCTCTAGGTTTTGGAAACTTATATTATGTGACTGTGACTGTCCTAACTTGTGTTTCACTTTTGGGGTAAAAACAAAACCAAAAAAATCAAACAAGCAAACAAACAAACAGCTCCCTAATTTCCCGCCCCCCCCCCCCCCCCCAAAAAAAAAAGTAATTAAAAAAATTAAACAGAAAAGAGCAACTATCTTAAAATGTGCTATTTCTTAAACAAAAGTAGGCATTTGGACAGACAGGGGGAAATGAGTAAATGAAGAAGCACATTTTTTTATTCCTCTCTTCCTAATAGCAGACAGCATACACTTAATCTCAGGAAGATCTGATTTGGAAGTGCTGTGCTTTCATGTTGTATGCCTATATGACTGTTTATTTAGTTGTGAGTTGATTGATTAGGAAATAAGTGCTTTTCAAGTTGACAGTATAAATAATGAAACTTTATTAGTGATATATGTGACACATTTAACAATGCTAATTTTCTGTACTGCTCTGTGTAATTCACTTGCCTTTTTCAGTGGGCTGTAAACAATAGGAGTTTTGAGGGAAATCGCTAATTTGTTGGCTTTTTAAAAGGCAACAGAAAGGAATCCAAAATTTACAAATATTTCCAGAGTGCCACCTAGTGGGAAAAGAATTGAAGCCGCAAGAAAATTGGACTCAAATACAGCTTTGGTGAGTATGTCTTAATATACAGAGCTGTCTCTTCATTTTATGCAATAACTAAACACAGGCAGCTACTAATAACTTTTTGCTGTTTAGTGATCATTGGAAAACTTTATTTGTTCCCTTTTTTTGTATTAAAGATATATGTATGCTAGAAATAATAAAAATTAATACATTCTCTGATTCCCTGCTTTTGTTATTTTGAAAACAAACAAACAAATGTCAGGCCAGAGCCAAAACTTAAGATTTGATTTAATAATCTCATATTCTTGTATCTCAAAAGCCTTAAGTCATTTCATTTTCATTCTTTTAATTCAAATATAGATATTTGAATTTAAAATTGTCATACATATAAATTTAAGATCATGGTTATGAAAAAGACTTCAAAACAAAAGGGCTTCAAAGAATACAGTTGATGTCTTATTGCTTTCATGTGTGGTTTCATCACAAGCAGTGCTTGGTGCTCCTTAGCAAAGCCACAGCACCTGGAGTTGTGTGGTTATAGCGAACTCATTGCAACCTTTAAAGCAGGTTTCTGCTACTGCTTTAATGTCTTATTACACAGGCAGTCCTGAGGGTGTTCAAAGAAACCCAAATTCTGCTCTCTGCAGAGCTGCTAGCTCTGCAAGGCCTGAGCCAGGTGTGATGGGAGTCAATGCTACAAACTCACCAAGTTTCTCTTGCCTAAAAGTGCCTGGGAGGTAAGCAGGGCTTGGTGCAGGTGGGCTGGCATGGGGTAGGGGAAGGGTACAGACCAGCCTGTGTGAATGAACACTGTATGTATCTGCTATGGGTAGATCAAGCGTAGCATTTCAGAGCCCAGGCCCAGGCAGCCTGTTGTCATTGTTCTTTTGTGTGCATCACTTTTGTTGTTGCTCCCTCCTGGGAAGGAAGTTGGGGGATCTTAGTGTATTGATTTCTGGTCCTACAACTTGCTGCAAGAACAACTTCTATCCAAGTGTGTGGGTGTAATGTTCAGAATGTCCCCCTAGCTTCATTACTTAGTAAAGGCTTACAACAAAACAGACTCTGAGGAGTGTGTTTTCCATGGGCTATTTCTGTGCTAAATGTGTTTTCACTTAAAAGTAGGAAAATCAACTTGGCTCTCCTTTCATTTCTATCTGATTCTTAATTCATGCTCCTCAAATTTATTTTTTAAATGTGACATATATCCAGGAATGACTTATGCTAAAGAGGAGCTCTAATTACTTTCATAAAGACCAACTTTGAGATCTAGGAAATGTTCTTAGCAAACGTGTCACCTGGGTAGGGTGTGTGTTCATGAGAGTTTTCTTCTCTATGTTAAAGGAAATATTGTCAATGTGGAACCTAAATACAGTGTGTTTTGTCCATGTGTCATACAACACTGGTAAGCTCATTGATCTCAAGGTGAGATAACACAAAGAGGGAAATGACAAGAAAAATAATATGAGACTAAGGCAGGAAGTTTCCCCCCCCCAGCTGTGAAGTAGAAGACTCTTATATCATCACTGGTGAATGATTAGCAGAGAGAAGGAGCAAGAAGAGGCAGTGCGCTCAATATTGCTTCCTGCTTGATTTAACCAAGCTCTGCTTTTGCCCTTCTCGAGTGTTCTTGAGTGGAATGAACTGAAAAATTATGTAGAGATCTGCCTTGCAGGCTGCATGTTTGCTAAGCTAAAAGAACAATAATTTGTCAATGAAAGTGTTTAATGGCAGTAGGGAGAGTTCTCACTGCAAGTAAGGAATATGGGGAGAGAAGGAGGGGTGGAAAGGGAAGGAGCAATAAGGAAGAGATTTTGGTGCTAGGGTAGTTTGCATTTTCTAATGAGGTTAAAAAAGCAGATTGAGTGCTGTCCGATCTAGACTCTATCAGCTTTACAGGCAGATATTTCATTTTACCTAAGAGTTCTGCTGAGAAGAACATGTTAATAATCTATTTGGAGGTGTAGTGTAGGAGATAGTTTTTCCCTTGTGGTAGTGTTCTTTGAAGGAGGTGCTCTAGCATTATTACTGTATATTTTTATGGTGCTAGGCACTGTGTACTGTATGTGTGAGGTGTGTGTGTTATGCAAGCATGCAGACAGAAATCTGGAAAGAAAGAAACAAGACTGAAAGGCAGCCATGACAGGTACAGACTAGTACCATGAGGTACAACTGCAGGAGTTAAAAGCAGCAATAAGGGACACCCTTCTGAGAGCTAGAGACTGGATCCTGCTTCCCTGACTGATATGTCTTTATGCAAATGATTGCTGGTGGGCACAAAAAATGACTTCCATGACACAGAGTCTTCTGAGAGGCAGAAATACTCTGTAAAGTTGCATATATATATTTATTTTTAATAAATGTTTTCATTTTTCTCTCTTATTTCCAAATTGTTCCAACTCAGATCTTGTCAAGTTGCTGATCAAGGTGTGAAGGCTGACAGACTGTGGTCTTGAAGAAGCAGGAACTCAAATTATATGCCCCTGAAAAAGAGAAATTTGTAATTCTCACTTTGTGACAAACAATTCCTCGAAAATCCTCTGGTGTTTGACTGAAAGTATATGATGGTCTCTTCATAGTAAGAAAACATCCTAAATCATGTCTGGAGATGTCTCCAAATGATTAGCTGTGGGTATTTTTACTCAACTCAAGCCTAGTTTTATTGCACTCATGGGAATAACTTATACAAGCAGAACAACATGTGTGCTCTTGAGTTATCTTTTTCTTTTTTTTTTTGCTAATATCTTTAAAATATTTTTGTAACATTTTAAAATATACAACCAGCACAAACTATATGTGTGATTGTGGTGTGATAAAAAGGTTTGTTTGTCACTTATTTGTCTTAAACTAACCCTGAATGACCGAAGATGATTTCTATCACAGCAGATATTCTTGCCTTTACCCCCCCCCACCCCCACTTTATCTTGCTGGTCACTGTCAGCGCACAAGTGGTACCTCACTATGGAGTCTGGGAGTTCGCTCACATCTTTCAACACATCACTTCCAATGCAGTGTTTTCTAGTATCCCATTTTTGCCAGTCTTTAACAGGTTTTCTTCTCCATGCTAAGATAATCCACACTGTATTTAATAATCTTTTACTGACTGACAATTCTTCATAGCTGTCATTAAAGAGTGATGAATTCAGTCCAAAACACCATGAAGCTAATGAAAGTCTCTGCATTGATTTCTTTTTTTTTTTTTTTTTTTTAATTTCTTCTCCATTTTCCTCTCCATACTTTTCAGTGCCTGTGCTATCTATTCATTTTGAAGGAGTTTGGATCAATCCTCTCAGAGTTCTAAGATGAGCCAAAAGTGGAAATAAGAGGTCATGGAAACAAAACTGAAGCATAGGCCACAAATGGGGAGATTCTAATAGTATACGAGTTTGCTTAGCTGATTTCTATACAAACACAAATATAAGAGGAGACATATTAATCTAGGTGTTAATGTATGGGTTGCATCATTTTAATTATTCTAGAGTGTGTAAGAACATGAGTCTGGTAAATATTTAATTTTTAACTGAAATAAAATATTGATTACAATTTCTCTATTAATCCATATTACTTTGATTCTGCGCTTTTTACACTTTTAATAATTTAAAAGAATCTCTTAGTGGACACTTCCTTCTTTATCTCAGGATGGGGGCAGGGGATAAGTGTGGAAATGTAGCACTTTTTTTTTTTTTTTTTTCATTTTTTTTCTTCTCTCTGTACCATCACTTCTGAGTCAGTTAGTTTAATTACATAACAAGCCATAACCTCTTTTTTCTGTTTAGTTGGTTGGTTGCTTGTTAGGTATTACTATAACTTAAGAAACTTACTTTTTTCTTGAAGAAAACTTCCTCCATACTTCTAAGCTTCAAAAACGACAGTTCATAACATTAGCTAATTATCACACAGTAATACTCCTGACTATATGACATGCAAAAGAATCCCAGTCCTTTTTTATGTGGAAGAGGAAAGCATTCATGTTTCAGAGAGAGGCTGGCCTATTCCAATGAAGCTAGAAGTTTGAAAGAAAAAAGCTGAATCCACAGCTAGAGCCGAAGGATGATACAGAAAAAGAAGATATCAAAATTATTGTTCCTTTGCATACTACCTTAAACACGTGTATGCATTAAGGTTAAAAATCAGGATACCTAATTATTCCCATGCAAATATTTCCAATAATGCTTTTTTTTTTTCCTCTTTAAAGCAGAGCTTTGACTAAATATGCTAGCCATTTACCATTATCTGTAATTGCAAAGAATGAATTTAAACTTATATTTTCAGTAGTACATTAGCACAGAATCTTCTGCTTGCTTCTAATTTCTTTTCCTCCAGAAGTCAGAACGCCATGTGACTCTACCAGCTCTTCAGTGGAAATGCTGATGATACCTGTTAATAGATATGTAATGGTTAAATACTGAATAAACAGCTGGAAAAATGTATATTTAGTTTGATCTACTTAGATTTGGTGTAAATGGGCAGCAGTAATTCCCTTCCACATGCTTTCCTTTAAAGTATTAGGATTATTCTTCAGTTCCTCTGAGTGTTGAAGAAACCTGCTGCTATCCAAAGCATCTACAGTAGATACATCATAAATATGGAAACAAAGACATTCACTCTACCAAAGTCTAACTGGAGGACTTTTGGCACAGTGTTTATGGCATGCTCTTTGCTATCAAACCAGTGAAAATAGCAGTTAATGCCCAACGGAGCAGCTAATTTCTGTCACTTGGATATTTGTCCGAGAAATTAGCCTGGGACTGAGCCAGCTGGTGTTGCAGTTTCACTAACTTTGCAGTGCTATTAGTTTGAAGTCAGGAGTTCAGATGTGGCTTTGACAAGCATACGATTCTGTGCTGCATTGCCTGTCCTGGGAAGCTGTTCAGTTTTTTCTATATTTGTCAGATGAAAATGTCTCTTGAGTTCGTCAAACACATACTCAAGATATCACAAGCTGCAGCTGGCAGCTGTGAGCTCAGTAGTTCAAGGTGAATGGGGCACTAATTAGTAAGTATATAGGGTTATCAGCACACACAGCACCCAATTTTTGAGCAGGGAAGGAAGACAAATTAACAGTCATAAGGAGGGCTCTTTTCCAGCTGCTTCCAGCTCTGCTGAAGCTCTCATTCCTCCTGCCTATCCACATGCTTCCAGGGTGAGAGCTTCAGCAAGCATGTGCCCATGCAGCTGGGAGCACTGGGGTAGCCTTTCAGAGCTGGTTAGCATGTGGAAAAGCCATGTTACCCCCAGCATCAGGCTCTGGATTGCTTTGACCCCTTCCAATGCCTTCAAACACTCTAAGTCTAGTAATGTGGGTTCCAAAAACATTTAGCAGCCCTAATGCTTCAATCCCAGGTTGTAGGAACTATCATAATGCCAGCGAAAGCTACCAGAGAACAACTAGCTGATAACCAATCTCTCTCCTGGTGTCAGCAAAAATTGAGGGTAGCAGAGAAAACAGGACTGAAAATTGCTGAAATGCAGAGTTGAATAATAACCAGGGAATGATTCTTCTTTAAGTGGGAAAGAACAAGATTAATGGGCGCTTTACCAAGAGATAACATTTTTGCAATTACTATTAAGTATCTAGAAGTCTCTAATTCAAAATACAGATAATTTACTGTAAATCTTTCCACTGACTGCCATATTTTTCAGTAACTCTTGGCTGTAAATTTAATAGCTGCAGGAAGCTTTCAATTCAATGTATGTAGAATCACACCCTTCTCAAATCTTTTCTCTCCAACAGCCACTATTTCAGGTCTCAGAATTGCATTTCTTTGGATAGGAATCCCATCTGTATAATTTTGAATTATCCAAGATAAGCCTGAGGGATAAAATTAAAAGCCAAATTTGATTAGGTTGGTTCTTCACTTGCTTGTCATTTGCCTATCAGAGACATTGATTCTTTACATGGCTTTAAGTCTGCCAGCCCATATTACTAGTAAATCCAGAATTAGTTACTCTGTGTTCACAGAGATCACAAACTAATTTTTGTCAGAGACTTTTGAAAAGGTAGGTTATACAAACTCATCTGTGGTTCAATAGCTTTACTGTTTCCATATATAAGTGACTTTTTTCATTCTTACCCAGCTGATTCTCCACTGCATGCCTACTGCAGTATGTTCTCCTTAGGCTTGCAGTGAGTGACAGAGAAGGTGAAATCTTCATGCATCACAGAAGTAGCACTAGAAGGAATAAGTTACTCAGATGTCAAAGCAGTAGTAAATCTAATCAGAAGGTTACCATTATCTGGGAATATTCAGGGAAATGTAAGGAAAATCACAAGACGAGGTTCTGCTGTGGGAATGGAGGAAAGAAAAGCTGCCTTACGGTAGAAAAGAAAGCCGTAACGAGTAAAAAGAGTACAGTTATACCATTGATTCATGAATCATTTCAGGTTGAGTAGTTAACAAAAGAGCTCTGCTCTCTTAGAATTCTTTCATAAACCGAGAGTAGAAGTTCTACTGTTAACAATATTGTTTGCAAAGATAAGACCCAAAAGTCTTGGTATCAGCTGAGATTCATACATGCAAACTTAAACCTTCAGGCCTCTGAGAATTTCTACCCTGATGTTGTGAGATACACGGAGTCATACTCAGGTAAATGTTGACCTCTGGAAAGGACCACAGTGGGAAAAAGGAGGGCAAAAACAGTTTCATGTGATCACAGTCAGCCAATTCTAGGATACATATGCAAAATTCTGGATTGTGATGGTCTGTCTTAGTTGTGTCTGCTAGCGCTGCAAGGCAGTGTGTAGAGAAGAGTGGAGGTACTGAGGCCTCCACCACTATATGAGGTCTCAAAGTGTCCAGGTTTGTAGATGCAGGTGAGAATCCTAGTTAATTGATAGACATGCTATAAACACTTTATCTGTGCGTCTTATCTTGCTTTTGGTCATAAACAAAAGTTCCAGAAAATCTGTTTTATCTTGTAGCCATATCTTAGCCTTTCTCACTTTCTTGCATCACTGGGGTTTCCCTCTCCCTCTCTGCTTTAACTGAAAGAAAAACTTTTAGAGTCATAGGCTGGAACAGTACTAAACCAGAAGTTGCTATTGTGCTGTTGTCTCAGGAGCACAGATGTATTCCATGCCATTCTGCGTAGGATGACTATGGCTTTGAGCTTGAGAAGAAAATGACATTTAGTCCAGCTGATGTAGTTCCAGCTTTCTCCTACTGAGGTTTAATTAGCTTTGCAGAAATGGAAGCAGTGAAACTGTAAGCCTGAGATGGTCGCTTGATAATCTTTTGGGATGCTGGGATTCAATAACTGGAATGACCCAATGACGTTACAGAGATTTTATTTGATAGGAAAACAAAACCATGGTGTTCTCAACTTCTAACTCTTAGTTGCTTTTCAGAATGTCTCTCTAGTTAATACCAAAGTGCAAAGTGGTGTTAACCACGATAATAAGATAGCAAATACTGATGAAAATTTGATTGCAAATGAGCGATTTGTGTAGCAAATAAGAATTAGATGCCCTAATGTGTTAACCAAATAAGAGTCACAAAACACTTGGGAAATTAATGTGTAAAGTAGACAAAATAAAGCATTCAAGGCATGCCTTAAGTCTGGTTCCTGGGACTTTCTTTTGCTCTCCTTATTGCCAAGGCATAGGATGAAGGTTATATGTAAGGGAATAGAGAGCTCACTTCTTTTTACTTCAACTTTGTTTTCAGGAATATATTTTTAATTTTAGAAATAACCTGTGCCTAAATTTCCAGAGTAAGCCTGTGGTCCTTGTAACCATCTCAGACAGATGTGTTCATCCAGGCATTAACTAACATAAATTCTACAGCTGCAGA